AGCAGTGAAGAAATCAATAAATAAAGAAAATCTATTCTCAATGAAAAATTCGATTGATAAAAATTTTGATTTTGTGAGACAAAAAAAAATTGAGACCTCATCAGCAATGGTCTCTATTTATTTTATCTTGAAGCAACCAAATGATTCAATTCCAATTTTGGAACTTCATATCCGAATGCCGGCAAACTCTAATCCAGATAAAGAATTTAATCCATTAGCTAAAGCTAGCGTGGAAAAATTATATAATCGAAATCTTTTAGAACGCAAGAAGAAAACTAGTGACATTTTAGATGGCAAAGAAAATGTAAATTATAAAATAAATGATTTTATGAAAAATATTATCAGTAATATGACGAGTTCACGATCCATTTCGGATTTGAGAAGAAAAGAACAATTATTATTTTTGGCACTCAAATATTTGAAACATATAAGTGATGAGAGGGAAAATAAATTTCCATCAGTAGATGAAAATAATAATTATTATCTGAATGCAAAAAATAATATAGAGAATAGTAATCTAAAAATTCCTCAAATACCAAATGTTTTACAATCGGGAATTTATCCTGAAATGCAAAATAGACACTTGACACTTGATATGATTGAAAAAGATTTAAATTCTAGAACTGGAATTTTTAATTCATTTTCCAATAAAAGGTACGATGATATGCGTCGAAATTTACAATTGTTTATAAATCCAAGAACTGGATTCACTAATTATCAACAACAAGAATTAAATAGAAATTAAGTATTAATTTAATTATTTAATAATATAATTTTTCTGCCGCGTTTCTAAATCAAAATTGCAAGTTTATTGTAGAAGCACCTTAATGCCTAGGGAATTTTGGGGAATTCCAAATTCTTTGATTTCTGGTTCTGATTTTTGACAGCTTTCTCAGTTTCGCCTGCGATTACTTTAATAACAACCTTTATATATAAACACTGCTCAGTAATAATTTATTAAAATAACATATTTTATGAATTTAAATTAAAAACTATTTGGCAAAATGGAATTGAAAATATTTTTTCATTCCTTTATTTATAGATAAAACTTAAAATAACTTTCTTCTATAGTGTCACTTGCGAACCTAACCTATAAAAATATGCTCAAATTTATGTACCATATTAAGGAATTTGAGATTTCTAATTATCGTTTTTAGACGAATCCGTTAATGCAAAAGAAATTTAGACTTTTTTTTAAAAAATTTGTCGTTAATATATTATGGAAGGAATTTTGTCAATTTTGCTTTTGACATCTTTCTCTATTTAAAATTTTTCTTTATCAATTGACAACATTCAAAATGGCGGAAAAATTTAAAATTGATTCGATTCATTCAAAATTTGCGATTCGGGGGTTTTCGGGAACGCTGAATCCAAATGTGAGGTCATAGTATTTAAAAAATTGAAAATGGCGGACCCAATATGGCGGAAAATTTTAAAATTGATTTCATTCATTCAAATTTCGGTACTCGAGTGTTTTTGGTATCACTGAATCTAAATTTTATGTAGTTTTTGAAAAATTCAAAATGTCTCATCCAGTATGCAGAACAAAAATTTTAAAAATTTACCAAATTCGCTTGAAGTTTGATATTTTTTTAAATTCGCTCTTCGTCGAACCTGGGGGCACGCGAACGAGGCCAATTTTAAAATTTTCTGCCATATGGATTCGCCATTTTGAATTTTTTATATTTGACCTTAAATTTGAATTCAGCGACCTCAAAAACCCCCGAGTACCGAGTTTTGAACGAATTGAATCAATTTAAAAATTTTCCGCCTTATTTGGTCGCCATTTTGAATTTTTTTAATCTGACCTCAAATTTGGATTCAACGACGCCAAAAACTTTTTAATACGATGGAATGATATTTTTTTGGAAACTTTTTTTTGGACCTTTTTGGGCCCATAAACGATTTTTCTGCGAAGGGGTTAACAATCATTAGTTATGATTTTTAGAATTTTATAAAATAAAAAGTATCAGGGACCAGAATCTTATGTCTTCTTATGAAAATATCTATTACGGCGTTGGATAAAAATAAAAGTTCAATGCATTTCTTAAAAGGTGATAAAAAAAAAAAATTTAAGACCTTCTTCAATGATGTGCCTCTAATTGTATTCCTGTGTCAACAATTCAAAGATGATAATAAAAATCGTGATTTCATTTAAATTTATACATTTTTGAAATGCACAACTGCATTTTTGCTTTAAACAGGTCAATCTATGGTAAACACAAATTTTTTTAACACAAAAACGCCACTTAAGGATTTTGAGTGAAATAAATTTTATTAAGTTAAGAATATGATGAAAAAACTTTTTTGGAGTCTTTAACCCCCTCTTTTCTCAAAATCCTGACGTGCTAAGCAAATTTGGGTGCCAGAATCGTGTTCAGAGGACGAAAATACTTTGGAAACCACTCCGATATCAAAAATAAAAAAAGTTGAATTTTTCAATTTTATATGTAATTTATTAACATTAAAGAGTTTAAAGACGTCGTGATCTAAAAATGAATCACGCATATGAATTTGTAGTGCTAAAATGTACTTAAACGTGTATACAAAGTGACATCAATGTGCCTGCCAATTAAAAAAAGAAATATTTTTTTCTTGAAAGTTAAAAGTTTCGTGGATTTGCCCATATCCCAAAAATTCGTTAAAAATTGCATAAAATTGCAAAATAACTCTTTTTTGGGTTAAAATTGCAAAAAAAAAACCCTTTTTTTGGGTTAAAATTAAAAAAAAATTGTTTTTAAGTAACTTTTTAATAATAGAGTAATTTTATAGGTATTTATCCAAAAATTCGTTAAAAATTGCATAAAATTGCAAAATAACTCTTTTTTGGGTTAAAATTGCAAAAAGAAACCCTTTTTTGGGTTAAAATTGAAAAAAATTGTTTTTAAATAACTTTTTAAAAATAGAGTAATTTTATAGGTATTTATCCAAAAGTTCGTAAAAAATTGCATAAAATTGCAAAATAACACTTTCTTTGGGTTAAAAATAAAAAAAAACCCTTTTTTTGGGTTAAAATTGAAAAAACATGTTACAGAAAAAAGTATGTAAGATTTTCTAAAAGCATATGGCAAAGTATTTTGATTTATTTGAAAATAAGTGACAATAGATTTTCCAAGGACAGTGTCGAAGTCACGGTGTAGGTGTCGCTTTTGGAAATTTGTTAACTTAATATAATAGAAGATGTTTAGGTTTAAAATAAGAAATGTTAAAATTTTTAAGTTAAAAACAATTTATTTCAATGACACTTATAAAATTAGGCACAATATTATAGGTTCCTAACTCAAAATTTGAAAAACAACAATAAATAATTAAAAAAAAAGCATAAAAAAATTGGTAAAAAATTGAAAAAAATTTCTTTTTAAGTAACATTTTAAAAATAGAGTAATTTTATAGGTTTATATCCAAAAATTCGTAAAAAATTGTATAAAATTGCAAAATAACCCTTTCTTTGGGTTAAAATTGAAAAAACAAGTTACAAAAAAAAGTATTGTAAGATTTTCTAAAAGCATATGACAAAGTATTTCAATTTATTTGAACATATAAGTGAAAATAGATTTTCCAAGGATGGTGTCGAGGTCACGGTGTCGGTGTCGCTTTTGGGAAATTTGTTAACTTAATATAATAGAAGATGTTCTTTAAAAACTTTAATTAAATATATTTATTTACCTATAATTTATTTGTAAAAAATTTCCTAGTTTCCTAAAAATATTTTGCATTATTTTTATAAAATAATTTCATTGTTTTCTTTTTTTTTCATTTAAAAAAATTCGTCTTCACTAAAACGAGCATTGATGAATTTTTGAAGTTTGTTCAATAAAACAAACATAATAAAAAATTAATTAAAACGTATTTTTGTACTAAATTTAGGTTGTTAATAATAATATTTAAAACTCCAAGTTTAATCATTAAAAACAAAAAATAAAACTGAGAACATATTAGGGAGTCGAATACTTTTTTATTTTAACTTATTTTCAAATATGAAGAAAATTCCTTTTTTTCTGTATTATTTTTTTTTTAAATTAATTCTAATTGCAATTATTTATTATTTTTAAATAAATAAAAATTAAAAAAATTTTTTTTAAAAATAAATCAAAAGCACTTTATATTAATTTTGTGATAAACATGAAGTGCGGACATTCATTTATGTTCTCTTTTTGAAGAACGTTGGGAATACCAGGTACAGTTCTGTTTAGATCGTTGTTGGTGAAATTTTATTTATGATACAGCACAATCAATATAATAACATATGTCGGTTTGACAAGTGCATAGATCCTAATGTATGGGTGCACTTCTAATGCAGGGGTTTGAAAATACATCCTATATAGAGTTTAAAAAATAAAATTCTAAACGACAATTTGAGCCTAGAGTGATATCGACTTGTACATTTTCATTACACACTGAAAGAGTTTAGAATGAAATTTTATTTCTAATATTACTTATCAATTAGAAAATTTTGAGCATATATTTTAAAGTTCGAAGTCTGATTTTAAAAAATAAATACTGTGGAGTATATGCTAATTTTTGTTTTATCAGAATCATTTTCTTTTTTTTCGAAATCAATTAAAATAAAATATTTTATCCACCGAAGAATAAAAAAAATTTTTTTGACCCTTTTTTCAAATTTCATAAATAATAAGTAAATGATTAAAAAACAATTTAAACGGCTTTATTATATATTTTTCGATAGATGCAATCTCTAAATTATATTTTACTCATCTTGATGAAGAACTTTTTAATTAAAAAGGTGAATTCTTAAATTGCACTTCAAATAATTATATAAAAAATTATTTATTATTTATGTTTAGGTTCAAATAATAAGAAATATATTGAGTATTTATTTATGCAATAACTATATAATAATGAAATTTATGAAAAAAGAAAATGATCATGTATTTAATTTTGGTAAATTATTTATTATATTATTTATATTTAAAAATAATATAAGAAATAAAATAGGGGAAAAAATTATAACGAATTCTTTATTGGCTTTTAAAGACCTAGTGAAATGACAGCAAGCCATTATTTCATTCAATAATGATAATTATTACTCCCTCTCAGTTAATATGTCCTTCACTGTAAGGTAATACTATAACATATGCTATTATAATGTAGTTATTAACATAATTAGAATATTATTCTAAGAATTATTATTTTTTTAATTTATAATAAATAGTGTTTCACTTTCTATCGAGATGGAATTTTCACTGCATATAATGGCTCTATTTTATTGTGGTGTATGGAATGAAAATATTAAATATCCTTTACTATATATTGTTTATAAAATTATAGTATTATCAATAGTTTGTCTTTTTTCAATTTCATTATTTACGGAATGTATAAGAAATTATGGTTCAAATGATGATAATTCAATTCAAGGATTATTTATTGCGGTGCCATTTTTTGCTGCCGTTTTAAAATTAATAATATTCTATTTATTTCCAAAGAAAGTAAAAAAATTAATAAAATTGTTTAAAGCAAAAATTTGTCAACCAAATTCTGATGAAGAATGGATAATATGGAATGCATATAAAAAAAGTGTTGATTCAATGTTTTGGATAATTTTTATTTTCACATTATTAAGTGGATCGGCATTATTAATATTGCCATTAATAGATGGTGAATTAAGAAATTTTATTTTACCATTTAAAACTTATCAACCTTTTGAAATTATAAATTTTAAATTATATATTTTAACATATTTGTGGCAAATATTGGCATCATTTTATGGAATTTTATTTAATGTCACTTCAGACACATTTGCTTATGGAACAATAACATTGCTGTGTGGTCAATATGATATTTATTGTTTAAGACTATCAAAAATTGGCAATGAAACTAAATGTTATTCTATTAAATATTATGTCGATCATTATTCTATTATTCAAAAATTTATTTGGTATGCGCAAGATTTTTTTATGATGGGAATAACACCTCTATTTTGTTTTAGTCTTATAACTCTAGCTGCAACTATTTTAAATGTCGTTCAGGTTAATATTTTACAATTAATTATATAACTTTAAATATTTTAATTTATCAGTAAATTGTTTTCTAAACTTCATGCGATTTTGATTTTGACTTTCATATTATTATAAATAATTCAATTTTTTATTTTATTGAATTTTAATGGAATTATTCACTAAAAATATAAGTCAAAGTCAATAAAATGAAATAACACCTAAGTTTTTAATTTTGAAATTTTTAGGTAAATTTATTTAGCGCCAAATTTGTTACGATGCTTATTTTCTTGCTGTGCATGTTAACACAAATTTTTCTCTATTGCTGGTTTGGAAATTTTTTAATTGATAAGGTAATTTTAATTTTTTATGTTTTTATGTTTCAATATTTTTAAAACATTAGTTTCTTAATTTTGTAAAATGTTTTATTTACAGAGTCAAGAAGTGACGAATATAATTTACAATTGTAATTGGATTGATTTGACAAATGTTGAAAAAAAAAGTTTAAAGTTTTTAATGCAATTTAGTGGAAAAGGAAACGTATTTTCATACCATGGACAATGCATTTTAAATCTAAACACTTTCGTATGGGTAATATTATAGTTTGCATAATTTAAAAGAAATTCTAATTTTTAACCCCTTCGCAGTCTAATAGAAAAATTGTTTGTGGGTCCAAAACAGTCTAAAAAAAAAATTTCCAAGAAAATGTCATATCATCGTATTAAAAGTTTTTGGGGTCCTTGAATCCAAATTTGAGGTCAGATTTAAAAAAATTTTAAATGGCGGTCCCAATATGGAGGAAAAAATTTAAAATTGGTTCGATTTATTCAAAATTTGGTACTCGGGGGTTTTTGGGGTACCTGAATTCAAATTTGAGGTCAAATTGAAAAAATTCAAAATGGCGAACCTAATATGGCGACTCATTAAGGAAGAAAATTTTAAAATTGAATCAATTCGTTCTAAATTTGGTTTTAAAACATTACATAAAATTTAGATTCAGCGATCTCAAAAATCCCCTAGTACCGAAATTTGAACGAATAAAATCAACTTTAAAAATTTCCACCATATTGGGTCCGCCATTTTCAAATTTTTTAAATCTGACCTCAAATTTGGATTCAGCGACCCCGAAAACCCCCGAGTACCGAATTTTGAACGAATCGAATCAATTTAAAAATTTTCTGATATTTTGATTCACCATATTAGGTCCGCCATTTGGAATTTTTTAAATCTGACCTCAAATTTGGATTCAGCGACCTCAAAAACACTAAAGGAACCATTTTCATGCAAATTTGATCAATTTAAAATTTTTTTTTGACGTCATATTGAGTTCTCCATTTTGAATTTTGACATCAAATTCTGATTCAACGACCCACAAAAATCTTAGTATACCCAGTGACACTGAAATCGAATTATGTTTAGTATTTCTTTTCTAAGGTGGACATATTTGTCCAAATTCACAAAGGTGGCACGATTTTTTCTGGACATACTTAGGCCATATGGACTGTTAAGGGGTTAAAAGTTTAATTTTTATTCTTAAATTAAAATTAAAACATTGGTTACAGATTGTGAAAGCTTCGTATACTGCACTCAATGTCTTGAAGCGAAGTGCTAATTGATAAATCAATTGTATTTTTTTTTACTTTGCTGACGTGGAAATACAAAATTTTGAAAAATGTGAAGTTGTTTACAAAATATGGTATTTTTTTGATAAATTGTTCTTATATATTGCATAAAACTTGTGTTTTAAATCTGAAATATAAAATTATTAATAAAATGCTAGTAATACATAATAAATATACATATATATATTTACATTTAAAGACAAATTTGTTTAAAACAACCAAAGTTTTGTTAAATCAAAAATGTATTGCTATACAGTTAAACAAACCTTTAATTGATTCAAGTAAATTATTCAATTGAATACTTTTATTTGAATGAACAAAATGATTTATTGCATTTGACTAAATTTTACTCTTAATCGAAACAAAAAATTTGTTTCTTACAAATGAAAAATTTGGTTCCGCAAGGTTTCTTATCTTATAAATTTCCTAAATCCGAAAGATTATTAGAATTCATGCAAAAACCCGCTATCGCAAAATTGGAAATACCCAGTAAAAAAAAACAATTGAGAGTAAGGAAAAATAATTGGGAGTTAGCTTACTTTGTATTCGGTTTGGCGTCTAAACCGTGTAGGGACGTTACGGCCAATTATTTTTTCTTACCCTGAATTCTTTTCATCTGGATTGTTTGAATTGATGTTTGTTGATCAAAATTTGCAATACAAATGAATAGAATGCATGTTCCAAAGTGTCAAAATGCCGATTTGGAATAAGAAATGTGAAATTTTATGAAAACGACAAAATGTGAAATATGACAGATTTATCGACAATTTTACCATGTGAGTAGTGTTCATATGATAAATTTACCATACGAGCACTACTCACATGATAAAATTGTCGATAAATCAGTCATATTTCACATTTTGTCTTTTTCATAAAATTTTACATTTCTTATTCCAAATCGGCATTTTGATACTTCGGAACATGCATTCTATTCATTTGTAATGCAAACGTTGATCAACAAACATCAATTCAAACAATCCAGGTGAAAAGAATTCAGGGTAAGAAAAAATAATTGGCCGTAACGTCCCTACACGGTTTAGACGCCAAACCGAATACAAAGTAAGCTAACTCCCAATTATTTTTCCTTACTCTCAATTATTTTTTTTACTGGGTAGAAAAGTAATATATAATGACAGCTTTATTACGTCTTGCCGCCGTTAGATGGCAGAAGCATGCAGGGAGCACAAAGTCGCAGCTGTCATTATATTACTTTCCTATTTTCAATTTTGCAATCGCGTTTTTTCATGGATTCAAAAAATCTTTTGGATTTAGGAAATTTATAAGATAAGTTTTTTTGGTACGTTGGCAGGATTTTATAAAAAGTGTCCATGTTTCGAGAAAAAAAATGTTTTAAAATCAATCATTTTCACGTTCAATGCCGTTTCTATAGGGCAATAATTAAAGGTCCCTTTTTGCCAAACAATTTCAGAGAACGTTTAACACTCTTAAATAAACTTGTTAGTTGTATCAAACAAAATAGGTTATACACAAAAAAAGGTGGGTAAAAAGTTGTAAAGATAGAGGATAAAAGTCGTTAGGATACAGGGTAAAAGATAAATTTGTGATGGATAAAAATGTTTCTAAAATATTACTAGAAAAATGGATGTCATATTTGAGTAAACTGTCTAATTTTAATAAAAATATTAGTAATTTTACACTTAACTTATTAAATCCACAAATTTTATATAAATAAGTAATTGCACGTGGAAATATTTTTCGTATAATTATTGTCTATTAATAAAAATATTTTTGACTAATACAACTGACAGCTGACGACAGTACGTAAATAATCAGAACTGGGAAATTACAACTCCACGTCTGTATTGTTGCACGAAAGCAGAGTTGGGTAGTAACTGAATTTTTTGTGCATATTAGGCTCTGTCACTTGTGACGTCAGAGTCGATTCTAGGTGTGACGTCAGAAGTCTGGAGGGACAACAAACAGACGACACAATGTTATTCTTATGGGGAAGAAAATTTGTTTCCACTTTCATCAATTTTATTCATACTTTGAACATGGAAAACGCTTGTTGACATCTAATAAAATTAAAATGTGTGTTGATAATTAATTTTGTTATATATTTGATTCATTTGCACTGATAGATTCTCTGAATTCGTGATAAAATATAAATATTAAGGTTAGAAAAGTTTGTTTACTAATCACATTTTACATTTTAACATTATTAAACAATATCCAGTATGCATGTTATTAAAAAAGATATAAAATATATATTTTAAGTGGGAATTACCGCAGTAGTAAAAGATTTCAAGTTAGTTATCAGACACCCCTAACCTCAAAATTTATTTTTTATCACGAATTCAGAGAATCTAATAGATATTTATATCTTTTTTAATAACATGCATACTGGATATTGTTTAATAATGTTAAATTGTTAAATGTGATTAGTAAACAAACTTTTCTAACCTCAATATTTATATTTTATCACGAATTCAGAGAATCTATCAATGCAAATGAATCAAATATATAACAAAATTAATTATCAACACACATTTTAATTTTATTAGATGTCAACAAGCGTTTTCCATGTTCAAAGTATGAATTAAATTGATGAAAGTGGAAACAAATTTTCTTCCCCATAAGAATAACATTGTGTCGTCTGTTTGTTGTCCCTCCAGGCTTCTGACGTCACACCTAGAATCGACTCTGACGTCACAAGTGACAGAGCCTAATATGCACAAAAAATTCAGTTACTACCCAACTCTGCTTTCGTGCAACAATACAGACGTGGAGTTGTAATTTCCCAGTTCTGATTATTTACGTACTGTCGTCAGCTGTCAGTTGTATTAGTCAAAAATATTTTTATTAATAGACAATAATTATACGAAAAATATTTCCACGTGCAATTACTTATTTATATAAAATTTGTGGATTTAATAAGTTAAGTGTAAAATTACTAATATTTTTATTAAAATTAGACAGTTTACTCAAATATGACATCCATTTTTCTAGTAATATTTTAGAAACATTTTTATCCATCACAAATTTATCTTTTACCCTGTATCCTAACGACTTTTATCCTCTATCTTTACAACTTTTTACCCACCTTTTTTTCTGTGTAGGGCGATAATTAAAGGTCCCTCTTTGTCAAACAATTTCAGAGAACGTTTAACACTATTAAATAAACTTTTTAGTTCTATCAAACAAAATAGGTTAATTAAACTGTTTAATTATAAGTCAAATTAACTTCTTCTAACACTTCTGTTTTTTTATCGAATCAGAAGTAAAATTGGAATTGACTTCTGTTTCGATCGAAGAATCAAAAATAATTTATAGTAGACTTTTGTTTCATTACCGAATCGCAATCAAAATACATTCGTAATTTTTTTCTGTTTTCAAATATCAATAAAAAAACAAAATTCAACTTCCGTGAATGTCCCTGAATGTCTTCGTAATATAGGTTTAAAATGAAACTGTATAGAGACACCGATTATTATACAAATTATACAGGTATAACAATGCTATATAATTACAAAGCTCTCCCCATTATATATCGATTACTGCAACTGAACACAATGGACATTTTGCCATTACCTTTTCGAACTCTGTCGTTCACTGGTCTTTGGAATAAAGACTCTAACTTTTCTTTTGTAAAATCAATTTACAAAATTTTTGTTGTCACCTCAATATTTCACTTTACAATATCGGAAGCTGTTGGCTTTCTGAAAATATGCAATACAGAAGAAGATTCAACTCAGGGTCTCTTTCTATCGTTTACATTTGCTGCACTTTGCTTAAAAATTCTTAATTTCCTTTTTCAGCAAGAAAAAATGTCTGATATAATACAAAATTTTCGAGTACAAAGTTTTCAGCCAAAATCACCTGATGAAAAAGTTATTTGGGAGAAATATAATTGTGAAGCGAAAAGAATTTTTTTAATTTTTCTAATTCTTTCACAATCAAGTGGACTGTGTTTTTTGACGTTACCATTCATGGAGACGGGATTTGAAAATATAACATTGCCCTTCAAAACATATCAACCGTATAACGTTGCAAATAGTCAACTATATTCTATTACATATATTCTTCAACTTTTGGAAGCATTTTATGGAGTTTTAATTAACGTTTCATTGGATTCAATGGTTTATGGCTTTATTTTACTACTATGCGCACAATATGAAATACTGTGCTTACGACTAATGAAAATTGATGACAATAATAATTTTTTATTAAAAACTTATGTTGATCATCATGTACAAATTAAAAGTCAAATTTGTAAAATACAACATTTTTTTATGAGAGTTATTTCCACACTTTTTTTCTTCAGCTTAATTACATTGGGTGCGAGTATTTTTAAAATTATTGAGGTAATTTTAATTTTAAAAAAATAGCATTTTCGTTGTTAATTCAAAAAATATGTATTTACAAAAACATTAAAAAATTATTTTACAGTTAAAATTACTTAGCATTGAATGTTTTACAATGTGCCTCTATCTGACATGTATGTTGTTTCAAATATTTTTATACTGTCATCATGGTCATGAATTAACACTAAAGGTTCTGAATTTTACATTTTTAATTTTGTAAATTAACCCTCGGAGCACACACCTCTTTTTTCGAACAAGTAGCACAGTCTGGGTCGCTGTGACCCTGTTTACTTTACAAAACTCCCCCATTTTTGAACTATTGGACTGATCAACACAAAAAAAATATTTTTTTATTCATTGAACCTTGTAAAATAAGAATATGCAGTTTAGAAATATTATTAAATTATTTGCATATTGAAAAAAAATTCGTGAAGTTAACTAATTAAAAAGAAAAAATTGAATTTTAAAAAAAAATGTAACTTTTGTAATTTTTAATATTTTAAGCTAAAAATTGTGATTTATATTCTCGAAGTGTGTTAGAATAAGGGAAAAAATACCACCTTATTTTATTTTTTAAAAAAGGTATTTATTTTGTAGTTTAGCGAACGCAACTTTTAAGACGATAAAAATGTGATTTTCGACACAACTTTTTAAAACTATACTTTTTAATAACATATTTACTAGTATTTTATTATTTTCTTTGGATTATCATGTTACTTATTATTCCTTATTAGTTAGTTACCACTATATGGCCTTAGGTTCGTGTTGTATTGCCGACTTTTCAAATTACACTTCATTGAAATTAATGACAGGGTCTGTATGACCCAGTATGTGCTCCGAGGGTTAAATTATTAATTTTTTTTAATGATTCAAATTTAAAGTTACCAGTATGTTACTTAAGTTCTGAACGTTCAAATAAAAAAAAAAATTTCTTACCTACTTTTTTAACTTCAAATTAAAATATTACTTTCTGTATCGTAAAATAAATTAATTATTTATAAAATAGGGTAAGTGCATCAATTACGGCGCGTTCATAAAAAGATCTATTATTACTATATTATATTTAATATTTAACTGTTGCAAAATGATTTAAAAAAATTATTTTAATCTTTTTTGCTTCCTCGTGGAGGAAGCTTTGTGTAGTCCTTTCGTTAATAAAATTTTTAAAAATGGTGAAAATAAATTTTTCCCATGGTAAATATTGTCACCCAAAGGTGGTCCAACCATGGTTCCCATAGTTGGGCCGACTGTGGGGGATAATGGTTGGCATGACTTGGGCAGCCACAGTTGGGCCAACCTTAATAGTTTAGTTCGCACAACTCTGGTAGAAAGTTGGGCCAACCGTTGGCAAAACTTCGGTAGCCAGAGTTTCAAACACACAAAAACATATATGGTCGGGCCGACTTTGGCTATAGTCGGGCCGATGACACAAAAAATCGTTCTTATGGATAATCTTGTTTTTATACAACAGTTATATTAAATATAGGTAATAGTAATAATAGTTATTATTTATGAACGCGCCGTAATTGATGCACTTACCCTATTTATTTCTAATAAATTTTATAAAAGTTCGCTTATTATTTTAAAAAAATTTCAGAGTAAAATTGTTATCAACGCAATATATAATAGTAATTGGACACCATTAAATTCTAAAAACAGAAAAAGTCTACAACTAATTATGCAGTATAGTGCAAAGGGAGTTGTAATATCACATCGTGGACAATGCATTTTAAATTTAAATACATTTGTTTGGGTAATTATTTATAAATTTTGTTAATAGAAGCAATTTTTAAAACAATAATAAAATTTTTTTTCAAAAAAAAAAAGATAATAAAAACATCATACAGTGCCTTAAATATTCTTCGCAAAGAGTAAAATAGTAATGTTGAAGGTTTGTTAAAATCCAAAATTGAATGCAGTGAACTAACAAAAAATAGTAAAAACACGTAAAACTATAGTGTGGACACAAAAAAATTTTCACATAATATAATAATTTTATATTTTTAATAACAATTATACAAATAATTTGTATTATTTATACTTTCTTATGTTACATTTGTAATAAAACATATTGAAAATATTTAACTAATAGGTAAGTTACGAATATCTTAATTGGCAGATGACATTTATAAATAAACAGGGTTGGGAAGCAAGTGCCCAAAATCTGCTGTGACGAACATAAATAAAAGTTTGTGTATTTTTATTTATCTCTAAACGAATTTTTTTTTATTCAACCCCTAATAACACAAGATATCTTGGGATATATTGATAATATCCCGCAGATATCCTAGGGATGTCCTATAGATATCAAAAGGATCTCTTAAGGAGATCCAAAACATCATCGGTTTTGACATCCTTTGGATATCCCATGGATATCTGAGGATATCCACAGGATATCTTCTGGATATCTCTATAGACTTTCATAAATGTCCTCCAGATATCCCATAGATATCGTTAGGATATCCCAAAGATATCATCAGGATATCCCAAAGATATCATCAGGATATCCCATAGATATCGTCAGGATATCCCATAGATATTTTCAGGATATTCTCAGTATATCTTCTGGATGTCAAGAAGATATTCTCAGGATACTGTTTTTAAAGTCATTATGAGACTACGAGTGAGAATATTCTGTGAATTAAATTTTATATAAATAAAATAAAATGCAACTTGTTTTTCGAGAAAGTTGTTTAATTTGAAAAATTATTAACTAATTTTTTTCTCATTCGTGATTCATTCCTTTATTCATATGCTTAATATTGTCAGAAAATAAATTGTCTTTAAACAATATAAATTCTTCCCCGCAAATAACGAATAACTATTAATATTAATTATACATTAAGTGCATGAGTTTATTTAAAAACTTTGAAAAATGCGTTTCAAATCTTCATTTAAAATAAATTAGAAGCTCATAAGATTTTTTGTTTTTATTATATTATTATTCATTATATTAGCTTAACAATTTTAACCTTTAAAAATATATGTTGAGATATTAAATATCCCGTGAATATCCTAAGAATATTGCACGGACATCCTGCGATATAATATTCAATAGATATTTTGTGGATGTCTTAGGGATATCCTGTGGATATCCAAGGGATGTCCTGTTGATGTCCCACAGACCGGCGGTTTGGATATCCTATGGATACCCCAAGATATCCTGGGGACCATTCTAGGATATCCTGTGGATATCCTAGGAATATCCCTAGGGATATCCTAGGGATATCCTATGGATATCCTATGGATATCCTATGGATATCCTATGGATATCCTATGGATATCCTGGGGACCATTCTAGGATATCCTATGGATATCCTGTGGATATCCTAGGGATATCCTTTTGTTATGAGGGACTGGATCACTGTAAATAATTTTCGCTTCTCTCTTTCTTAACATTCATAGTAAAATAATTTTAATACTCAAAATACCCACAAGAAAACTCTGGTAGCACTTTTAAGATTATTTCCTTGAAATTGAGATTTATCTTGCAGAAATTATTAGTAGCATAAAATTATTAATTAATTATAATAATAATAATAATAATAATAATAATATATAATTAATTATTTTATTAATAGTAAAAAAATTCAAAGATGAAAAGGCCTCTGGTAGAGATAAAATAAACTATATAAATTTTTATTAAAGACACATCGAGAAAAAAAGTAAAAATTATTTGAAACATTATTTTCTATATTGTAAAACAGCATACCTTAGAAAAAATATTTTTTTTATGTATTTTGTTTATATTTGTAAAGAAACAACAATAAGAAATATATATATATATATTTTAAATTTAATCCTTCTCATTTAATTTTGTTTACATCTTATAAAGTAGTGCGTATGAAATAGATAATATAAAAAAATGCCTCTCTTAGAATATTGTCTTAGAAGTTATGCCTTTTTGTCGCAGAGCTTCTGTATAGAGACCGATTATTATATAAATTGTACAGGTATATAACAAAAGCTATGTAATTACAAAGCTCTCCGCACATATTATATTGATTTCTGCATCTGTACAGGATGGACATTTTGCCATTGTCTTTTCGTACTTTATCGTTAACTGGTCTTTGGACTGAAAACTCTACCTCATCTTCTTTTTTAAAATTAATTTACAAAATTTTTATTATCACTTTAATATTTCATTTTACAATCTCCGAAGCTGTTGGTTTTATAAAAACATGCGGTTCAAAAGAAGATTCAACGCAGGGTCTCTTTCTTTCTTTTACTTTCGCGGCACTTTGTTTAAAAATTCTTAATTTCATTTTTCAATATGAAAAAATGTCTGATATTATAAGAAACTTTCAAGTGGAGAATTTTCAGCCAAAATCACCTGAGGAAAGTGTCATTTGGGAGAAATATAATTGTGAGGCGAAAAAAATTTTTTTAACAATAATGCTTCTTTCACAATCAAGTGGATTGTGTTTTTTGACATTGCCATTTATGGAGACGGGATTTGAAAATATAACATTGCCTTTCACTACATATCAACCATATGACATTACAAATAGTCAATTATATTCAATTACATATATTCTTCAACTTTTGGAAGCATTTTATGGGGTTTTAATTAACGTTTCTCTTGATACAATGGTTTATGGCTTTATTTTACTACTATGCGCACAATATGAAATATTGTGCTTACGACTAATGAAAATTGATGACAATAATAATTTTTTATTAAAAAATTATGTTGAACATCATGTTCAAATAAAAAATCAAATTTTTAGAATACAACAGTTTTTTATGAGAGTTATTACCATACTTTTTTTCTTCAGTTTAATTACATTGGGTGCGTGTATTTTTAAAATTATTGAGGTAATTTTAATACTTTAATTTTTATGTTGTTAATTTAAACAATATATGTATGGAGCAAAATTTCTCAAGTTATCCACTATTCTTATTTGGCTTAAATTTAAATCCTTTTAAAAAAATGAAAAAATAATTATTTAATTTACTCATAGTACTAAATTGCATGCAAATTGAAGTCCCGATTTTTTTTTAGTTGGATCACTTCAGAAATTTTGCCCATTTTTGCCTCGTATAAATTTTGAAAGCTTAAAAAAAATTTTTACAGTTAAAATTACTTAGCATTGAATGTTTCTCCATGTGTCTCTATCTGACATGTATGTTGTTCCAAATATTTTTATACTGTTATCATGGACATGAATTAACTCTAAAGGTTCTGATTTTTAAATTTAATTTTATAAATTTAATTATAAATGTATTTCCAAACCTAAAGCTACAAATAAAAGACAATTTTTGAAGAAAATTAAAGAAAAAAAATTATGTAAAATATAAATTATCTTAAGAAGATAAATTCTTACAAAAATCATTTATATTTTACATTATAATTAATCATGAAAGGATGTAGGTATAATACAAATTATTTTAAAAAAAAAAGTTATTTCTACACTTATTTATTTATTTCTAATAGATTGTGAAAATAAGTTGCATTTTATTTATTGAAATTAATTTTATTTTATATTAATTTATTTTATTGCAAAATTTTTCAGAGTAAAATTGTTCTTAATGCCGTATATAATAGTAATTGGACATCATTAAATTCTAAAAATAGAAAAAGTTTACAATTTATTATGCAATTTAGTTCAATGGGAGTTGTTATATCACATCATGGACAATGTACTTTGAATTTAAATACTTTTGTTTGGGTAATTATAAAATTTTTTCTTATAAGACAGATTTTTTTAAAAACCATATTAATAAACTTTTTTTTACATCAGATAATGAAAACATCTTATACTGCCTTGAACGTTCTTCGTAAAGAATGAATTATATACATATATGTATATAGTAATGTAGAAATTCAAGATAAAAATTTTTCCATTAAAAATGTAAATATAGAAGAATATTTTACTGTTAAAAATGCAAAATATTTTTATTTATGAGAATAAAAAAAGTTTTATTAAACTAAAAGCTTATGTTATTTAGATATTAAAAAACAATTTAACTTTATAAAAATCGATTATTTAAACAAATATGATAAATTAAAACTAATACCGTAATTTTCTATTACGGCGTGTTTGTATCAGTTTTGGTTTGTCAATTACGATGACCAAAATCCCAACCAAAAATTTCAGTATTATACCAGAGTTAACTACTGGCGCAGTACTGGTTCAGTATTGGCTGCCGAGGCTGGGCAGTCTGTACTGAACCAGTACTGGTATTTTCATTGTATCAGTACTGGTGCAGTACCACCCTTCCAGTACTGGCAAACCAGTACTGAGCCGATATTGAGCCAGTACTGGCTCAAATAGATTTTCTTTTTGATTAATACTAGTTTACAAAAAGTTCTAGAGTGAACTCGATGAATATTTTTGTTTAAATATTTTGTTTATAAAAAATTTTTTCACTTTGATTTTATTTTTGAAAATTAAAAGATATTTTATTTTGCTTTTTTGTGGGTAAAATTATTTAAACAAAAAGTTTCCTGATACTAATTCCAAAACATTTTGCAAGTTTTTTTTTATTGTTTTTAGATATGCAATAAACCAAAAAAATTTTGCAACGATCAAACTAAAAACAACTAAATTTTTTAATAAAAAAATTAATAATTTTTAAAATAAAAATTCAAAAAAATTTTCTTGACAACACTTGTTAAATATTAAAAAACAACTTTTATTTTCTTAAAAAAGTTTTTCAAAAATTTATTTTGATGCAAATAATTAAAGTGAATAATAAAATAATTAAATAGCTAATTGTATAATTATATACATTATAATTATTTTATAAACATTTTTATTTTTACTGAACTATTTTTATATATTATAAAAACTTTGGTTTTATAATAAACATATTTTTATATTTATTTATTGATTTTTTAAAATAATAATTTGCAATATATATTATAATAAAGAATAAAAATTCTTGGTGTTTTTCGATTTTATATATAATAAAATATTAATTAGTTAGTTGACTAATTTAATTAATATTTAATTTGTGTTGGGTTACTAAAAATTTCACACACTTTTTCCTAAAAAAAAGTATTACCTGGAGCAGAGATTTCACTATTGCAGTGAAACTTATCTCTGTTACAGTTAAAGCTTTCTTTTCGTATACAATAAATTACAAAACTACCAGTACTCAGCCAGTACTGAACCAGTAGTGGTTACCAGTACTGGTGCCAACTCTGGCAGCCAATAATGGTAAAATTTTATCATCCGAAAGTTACGCCAACTCTGGTGCCAATACTGGGTGCCAGTACTGCGCCAACACTTGTCAGTACTGCGCCAGTACTGCGCCATTAGTAAATTTTTGATTGGGATTACGTGTATTTTAAAGATTTTCAGACAAAAATGAATTTGAGAATATTAATTATATGAAAAAAGATAAGATGCGAAAGAAAAGAAAATAAAGAGAAAAGAAATTGTAGAGTTTATGAATGTTAAATTCAAATAAAAAAAAGTCTTGGGAAACTGTTTGCTAATTTTAAAATTTTTAATTTAATTTAAATTTTTAGTTTAATTAATTAATTTAATACAAAATTGCTCAATTATTTCAAGAACAAAAAAATAATGTAACGAATTTTTTTGTTTCATAAATTTTAATTTTACTTTCATTTTAGAAAAATAATGTCCCAATCAAAAATTTACCAATGGCGCAGTACTGGCGCAGTACTGACAAGTGTTGACGCAGAACTGGCACCCAGTATTGGCGCCAGAGTTGGCGTAACTTTGAGATGATAACATTTTCCCAGTATTGGCTGCCAGAGTTGGCACCAGTACTGGTAACCACTACTGGTTCAGTACTGGCTGAGTACTGGTAGTTTTGTAATTTATTGTATACGAAAAGAAAGCTTTAACTGTAACAGAGATAAGTTTCACTGCAATAGTGAAATCTCTGCTCTAGGTAATACTTTTTTTTAGGAAAAAGTGTGTGAAATTTTTAGTAACCCAACACAAATTAAATATTAATTAAATTAGTCAAATAACTAATTAATATTTTATTATATATAAAATCGAAAACACCAAGAGTTTTTATTTTTTATTTAGTATAATATGTGTATATTGCAAATTATTATTAAAAAAATCAAAAGATAAATATAAAAACTTTTTGTAAACTAGTATTAATCAAAAAGAAAATCTATTTAAGCCAGTTCTCGTTCAATATCGGCTCAGTACTGGATTGCCAGTACTGGGAGGATAGTACTGCACCAGTACTGATACAATGAAAATACCAGTACTGGTTTAGTACAGACTTCCCAGTCTCGGCAGCCAATACTGAACCAGTACTGCGCCAGTAGTTAACTCTGGTATAATAATGAAATTTTTGGTTGGGGTTGCATATTAATATTGAAATAAAAAATTTTATAGAAAGAATTTATATATATCTATGTTAATTTTAGACATTTGTAAATTCGAGTCTTAGATCATATGGAATTGAAAAAATTCTATGATATGATCAGAAATTCCATGAGATTTCCATGTTTTCCATGATTTGTAGAAACCCTGTATTTATTTTGTATTAAAAAAAATTGAGGCTTCAAGTTGTAGGATTATATATTTTTTTAATTTTCAATTTCATGTTCATGTATCACTAAGGTTTCTGAGAAATTAGATATTAGGTATTTCTATTCAAGATAATCAATACTTATAGTTGTTCCAAATTTCTATATTTATAAAAAATTTTCATGTATCACTATAAGATTTCTAAGAAATAGATTACGACTTAGAAAAAGATAAGAAGTATAAAAAGAAAATTGTGTTTCACTAAGAATTTAAAGTTAATCAGTTGCAGGTTGATTCGAACTTTTACAACTATAAGGCATCAGTTTACTGCGTAAAAATAATTATTTTGTGAGTAAAACTTTGTTATTTTTCTTATGATAAAACTAGTTTTAAACTAGAAAATATCTTAACTATTTGATAATAATTACTTTTATATCAGGAATTTATTTTACTGTAAAAAAAAATAATATAAAATACATAGAATTTGTATTATATATATAAAAAAAAAAAAAAAAAAAAAAAAAGTTTCAATAAAGAAAAGAAAAAATACTTTAATATTTCTAAATTCTTAAAATTACAGCTTACGTATCCGGATCTTCTTGTATACTCCTACTCCTTAGTATGAGTATACAATTATTTTGCTTCCTCGTGGAGGAAGCTTTATAGTCCTTTCGTTTATAAAATTTTTAAAAATGGTCGAAACAAATTTTCCTTTATATAGAAATATGTTATATGATCAATTGTCCGGATGTGTGGATTTTCTTTTTGAACACGATTACTTTAACAGGTTTTAATGGTTTTTTGGTAAAATTTAGTAGGTAAAATTTATCTATAGTTTCAGACTCCTGAAAACAGTCTAAAATGAGCAAAAAAGAAGCTCCGGTTTATGCAACTTCAAGTACGATGTGTTCATTTTCAGAAGATCGTAAAGACCGTAACCCATCAACTGTCTTAAAAGGAATAAGAATTGTCGTGGGATTAGAAAACAGTGTAAGTTTATTATTTCGTTGTGCATAATACAAAATATTACTATATTTATAACATAGTCAATAAATCACTTTTAGAAATTACCATCTGAAGAACCTTCTATGCTTCGTAATTATTTAAACAAAGAATGTTACCAATGTAGTGAAACACTTACATTCATTGGTAATCGACGTCACTGCCGAGTTTGTGGAGAAATATTTTGTCCAAATTGTTGTTGCTATGACATGCCTGGAATGTTTATGAACCGAATAGGTGAGTTAATATATAAAAAAAAAAACATTTTCTCTCTCGGAAATGACCAGATTATGGAGAAACAAAATTTTTTGCTACTTCCCAATCAAAAATTTACTAATGGCGCAGTACTGGCGCAGTACTGACAAATACTGGCGCAGTACTGGCGCAGTACTGGCGCAGTACTGACAAATACTGGCGCAGTACTGGCACCCAGTATTGGCGCCAGAGTTGGCGTAACTTTGGGATGATAACATTTTACCAGTATTGGCTGCCAGAGTTGGCACCAGTATTGGTAACCACTACTGGTTCAGTACTGGCCGAGTACTGGCAGTTTTGTAATTTATTGTATACGAAAAGAAAGCTTTAACTGTAACAGAGATAAGTTTCACTGCAGGTAATACTTTTTTGGTATACTTAGGAAAAAGTGTCTGAAATTTTTAGTAACCCAACACAAATTAATTTCAATTTCAATTTCATTTATTAACGGGACATGCCCTTTCGTACAAAAGTACTCCTAAATTCTAATAGTTACGTAAGTAACAATACAAAATATAAAATATTAACTAAATCTAGGTAGGCGCTATAATGGTTAAAGTTCAGTATAAGTTTATACAGTAAAGAATAACATAAATCAAATTACATTATTATCAAAGGAGAAGATTAATTTTTGATAAATTGAATCTGCTTTAAATTAAATATTAATTAAATTAGTCAACTAACTATAATTAATATCTTATTATATATAAAATCGAAAACACCAAGAATTTTTATTCTTTATTATAATATATATTGCAAATTATTATTTAAAAAATCAAAAAATAAATATAAAAATATGTTTATTATAAAACCAAACTTTTTATAATATATAAAAACACTTTAGTAAAAATAAAAATGTTTATAAAATAATTATAATGTATATAATTATGCAATTAACTATTTAATTATTTTATTATTCACTTTAATTAATATTATTTATTATATCAAATATAAATAAAAAAGAATAACATCCAGAAACAAATTACAATAATTTTATTGACCATTGAACTATTTTTTATAATTTCTATTAAGAAAGGTTAATTGTATATTTTATATTATTGATAATATAACATTTGTGCAATTTTACTTGCGATTGTATTTAATTTTGATGAACAAAATATTTAAACAAAAAGATTCATCGGGTTCACTCTAGAACTTTTTGTAAACTAGTGTTAATCAAAAAGAAAATCTATTTAAGCCAGTACTGGCTCAATATCGGCTCAGTACTGGTTTGCCAGTACTGGGAGGGTGGTACTGCACCAGTACTGATACAATGAAAATACCAGTACTGGTTCAGTACAGACTGCCCAGCCTCGGCAGCCAATATTGAACCAGTACTGCGCCAGTAGTCAACTCTGGTATAATACTGAAATTTTTGGTTGGGTTAGACTCCTTTCTTCAAAAATAGTCACATTTATTTTTTAAATATTTACTTCTTGGAAAATAATCTAAAATAAGTCTTATTTTATTAATAAAATAACTTTTTATAAAATTCGTTTGGTTTAAAATTTATTATATTATTTTAATAATTTGCAAGTAATCAAAAATTGTTTAAAAAAATTACAACTTTAGATATAATATATTATTTATTTATTTAACGCAGACATATGAAACTATAATAAAAGTAATTTTTTCAGGTCATTTGAGAGTATGTTCCTATTGTTGTAAAACAATGCTTAACTATTTACAATTATCTTCTGACATAAAAAATAACCTTTCTATTGGATTGAAAGTTCTTAAAGAAAATCTTGAAAAGCATTATGGATAATTATAATTTGATTTATAAATAAATATTTTATATGCCGGTGATTCTCCCGAAATACTCCTTTTTGTGAGTTGTAAACGGAAAGAAAATAAATTAGTATTTTTGGATTAATGGAGTCTTTAACATTCATCTTTAAAAAAGCAATTATCTCTACAGCATGATCATGCTAACTTTTAGTTTTTAAAAAATTCTAGTATATGGACTGAAGGCACAGAAAAAAAGGTGGGTAAAAAGTTGTAAAGATACCCACACAGCACAGTATATTGCTGTAAGCTTACCTCAAGCTTACATGTAATTTTTGTAAGCTAACCCTTTAAGCTTCAGGTAAGGTCGAGGTAATATAAAAATGTCCGCCATACAGTAAGCTTACACAGTAGTAAGGCCATAGTAAACTTACATGGCAAAGTCACTGTAAGGTTACAGTAAGCTTACACGGTAAGCTTATATTAATTGCTAACAAATAACAAAGTATTAATTTATCAACTTACAGTAAACAATAAATTGTTTTGCACAATTATATTTATTTTGTCATTTATATAAAAAACCCCGGTAGGGTTTGCTTAAAAAAATTTACTGCGCATTCGTAAGTGCCATAGAAAGCTACTGCGCATAAATATTTTTAAAAAATTATTTATTGATACATTTGAAAACTTGCTGTGTAAGCTTACTGTAACCTTACAGTGGCTTTGCCATGTAAGTTTACTATGGCCTTACTGTGTAAGCTTACTGTATGGCGGACATTTTTATATTACCTCGACCTTACCTGAAGCTTACAGGGTTAGCATACAAAAATTACATGTAAGCTTGAGGTAAGCTTACAGCAATATACTGTGCTGTGTGGGTAGAAGATAAAAGTCGTTAGGATACAGGGTAAAGGATAAATTTGTGATGGATAAAAATGTAACTAAAATATTACTAGAAAAATGGATGTCATATTTGAGTAAACTGTCTAATTTTAATAAAAATATTATTAATTTTACACTTATAACTTATTAAATCCACAAATTTTATATAAATAAGTAATTGCACGTGGAAATATTTTTCCTATAATTATTGTCTATTAATAAAAATATCTTTGACTAATACAACTGACAGCTGACGACAGTACGTAAATAATCAGAACTGGGAAATTACAACTCAACGTCTGTATTGTTGCACGAAAGCAGAGTTGGGTAGTAACTGAATTTTTTGTGCATATTAGGCTGTGTCAGTTCATCGAGATATTTCGAGTTCAAGATATGACGTCAGAGGCCTGGAGGGACAACAAACAGAGGAAACAATGTTATTCTTATGGAGAAGAAAATTTGTTTCCACTTTCATCAATTTTATTCATACTTTGAACATGGAAAACGCTTGTTGACATATAATAAAATTAAAATGTGTGTTGATAATTAATTTTATTATATATTTGATTCATTTGCATTGATAGATTCTCTGAATTCGTGATAAAATATAAATATTGAGGTTAGAAAAGTTTGTTTACTAATCACATTTTACATTTTAACATTATTAAACAATATCCAGTATGCATGTTATTAAAAAAGATATAAAATATATATTTTAAGTGGGAATTACCGCAGCAGTAAAGGATTTCAACTTAGTAAACAAACACCCCTAACCTCAAAATTTATATTTTATAACGAATTCAGAGAATCTATCAATGCAATTGAATCATATATATGTATAACAAAATTAATTATCAACACACATTTTAATTTTATTAGATGTCAACAAGCGTTTTCCATGTTCAAAGTATGAATAAAATTGATGAAAGTGGAAACTAATTTTCTTCCCCATAAGAATAACATTGTGTCGTCTGTTTGTTGTCCCTCCAGGCTTCTGACGTCACACCTAGAATCGACTCTGACGTGACAAGTGACAGAGCCTAATATGCACAAAAAATTCAGTTACTACCTAACTCTGCTTTCGTGCAACAATACAGACGTTGAGTTGTAATTTCCCAGTTCTGATTATTTACGTACTGTCGTCAGCTGTCAGTTGTATTAGTCAAAGATATTTTTATTAAAGTCCAACGCACAATAGGTTCGCGAACGTGAAATTCGTTCGCCAACCTATTGTGCTTAAGCCTTAATAGACAATAATTATAGGCAAAATATTTGCACATGCAGTTACTTATTTATAAAAAATTTGTGGATTTAATAAGTTAAGTGTAAAATTACTAATATTTTTATTAAAATTAGACAGTTTACTCAAATATGACATCCATTTTTCTAGTAATATTTTAGTAACATTTTTATCCATCACAAATTTATCCTTTACCCTGTATCCTAACGACTTTTTTCCTCTAACTTTACAACTTTTTACCCACTTTTTTTTCTGTGGGGTTCAATTTTTTTTTAATAATTTTCAAAACATTTAACCGCCACATTGGATCGTTCATTTTGAATTTTGAAAATCTGACATCAGATTCGTAATCAGCGACCTTGAAAACCTCTGTGTTAAAAGTTTCAATCGAATTCGATGAATTTTTAAAAATTTGTCCGCCATATTGGATTCGCCATTTTGAATTTTAAAAATCTGAATTCAGATTTGAAATCAGCGACCTCAAAAACTCCTAGGTACCAAGTTTTATATAAATCCAAGAATTTTTTTAAAAAAATTTGACACGTTTTTTGAGGTTAGGAAGAAATGTAGACCCCCAGAAGCAAAATAGACTTCAAATTCGTGTTCGGCGGCCCAAAATACATGGATATAGGGTAATCTAATCCCTAAACCCCGACACTTTTTTTTTGTAGGGATGTGTAATTTTAACAAGTGCAATGTTTAAATTTTATTAATTTATAATTAACTATAATAATTTCCGTATTCATTCATTCATTCCGTCTGTCCACACTTGAAGTTAGTCGTATATTGTTCCTTTTGTTTTTCTAAAATTGACAGATTCTTGATTTCGTAATATTTTATGGTTAACGCGACGGATATTTTTATTCATCGTCATTAATTAAGTCATATACTAAGTATCAATTTAAAGTAAAAAAAAATACTGTTCATTGTGTGCTGCACCAGTATATTTCCTACTTGGTATTTATAGAAAAAAAAGTTTCAATTATAATATAATTTTTATTATTATTTATAAATTTATTATATTATATATACATTTTTTTAAATATAATGATTATTACAGATAATTAGAACATTTTAACTTATAATTATTATTTCTTTCATTATTTTTCCATTATTCATTATTATTTATTATATATTATTATTCATAAATTCATTATTATTAATTTGTTTTTATTATTAATTAATAAATTGTTATATTTTTTATCTGTAAACAATATAAAAATAGTTTGCTTTTTTAAAAAATTCTCAATTTGATTTTAATTTTTAATTTAATTTTCTTTTTGATTACATAATTTTTTAATATTTATTAATTATCAATTAATTAAATTTTTTGAAAAAAAACATAAATTTAAAATTTTCATTTGCAACGAAATATTTATAGAAAATACAAAAAAATATTTAGCAAAACTAATTTTTTGTAATTTCAAAAATTATAAAAAATCATCTAACATTGACTTTATAAAAAATATTTATTTCGAAAATTTTAATATTTATATTCTAAAATTTTTACTTAAAAATCTTATTTTTTTACTATCAATTCACAAAAAAATGATCTTACTCGTTATATATACATTCTGTCAATAAGAAAATCCATTCGTCAGTAATATCTTTTATCCCAACAATCTCTGCCTTTTCGTATACAGTATACATAAGTGACAAAGAATATTTTAATCATAATTGACACAACATAATTAATTTTTCTCGGCATTTCAAGTGGCGGCGGTTATGTTGGTGAAACTAGAATTGATTTATCAACATTTACACCGCAAATTGTAACTATTGGTTTTAATTTATGTTTTTCTTATCATCACTTTTTCGATAGGTTTTTTCTTGGGTTTTCATTGTTGTTACCGTCAACAATCGAACTAATAGTTTTACAAGTTTATTAAATTTAAAAATTAACTTAGCTAAATTATTTTTGCTGTATTAACTAATTATGAGCTGACTTAACTAAAAAATCACTATTTATATAACATGAAACTCATTTTTTTCTGTGTAAAAATAAATGATAACGTGAAAATTAGAAATATATCTATTATTAATTTATTACTCCACTGATGCAGAATTATTATTATTATTATTAATATTATTATTATTTTAAAAAAACCATTGCAATGACAGTTGGACGCGCGCTTGCGCGCGTGTAATTTTGCTAGTTAAATAATTAAAAGTGATCCTAATTTCAGAATAATTTTTAAAAAATGATATAATATTCAGTTCAATTTGATATTGTATCGAGTGAAAACGTTGCATGAGTTAATATGATTTACGGTATGAATTTAACACCTCCAAAGAAAATTGTGTAAAGAAAGACGTCGATATAACAAAAAAATTATTTTTACCTATATTGTAGAAATCTGAACTTATTGCTATATTCTTAAAATAAGGAAAGATTTTTTATCTATAAATAAAATTTTATTTAAAAAAAATGTATAAAATTGAATAACTATAAATGTTTACTACTTCTTATAATAGAGATTAAACTACAGTGAAATACTTTATTGGTGATGGAATTGGCTTTTACATGTAACTAATAAAAAAAATCAATGAAATTGTATAAGGATAGCTTTAGTATAGAATCTATAATTTTATAATTGAAATATCTTACAATCGTTATGACAATTTTTCATTAAAAAAATATTTTTCATAAATTTTACATAAGTTAAAAAAGTAAAAGTAGTAATATAATATTAGTAGTAGTGGATGTTAAGTTAAAATTTATTTTTAATATTCACTCGATACCTAATAAGAGGATAGATAATAGAACGTACAGAATGTTTCAAGTTAGAATTTACTTCCGTACGCAGAGAACAGACAATAAGCACGTACAATATAATTGCAGCTTATAAAGCTTCGAGTTAAACCCCCCAATACAACCCTTCCGTCTTATTATCGAAAGATATGAATATTCTCCTATTGCATTTCAAAGCTCTATACTATTGCGGACTCTCCGGTGGAGAGAAAACACTTTCCTTCACTTATTCTATTTATAAATTGTTTATAGTTTTTTTACTATTTTGGTATAC